GCCTCGTGAGTAGTTGGGACTACAGGTGTGTGTCACCACACCTGGCTAATTTTTGTATTTTTTGTAGAGACAAGTTCTTGCTATGTTGCTCAGGCTGGTCTCAAACTCCTGGCCTCAAGTGATCCTCCCTCCTTAGCCTCCCAAAGGCTGTGCTAGGGTTACAGGAATGAGCCGCCATGCCTGGGCCCAGGAGAATTACTGACAGGCCTTGAATATCAAATGTATTCAATTATGAGCTTCTATATAGTGAATACATACTAAGGATATTAAAGATCAGTGGTTATGTAGAAAGACCATTATATTCAGTGTGGATACCATTTTGTTGTAAGAACTCTTTGTCTTAAGAACACAACGAGAGAACATTCTTGTGTAAATAGGCCCCTTTAAGCACAACTCCCTAGTTTCCTCCCCTTATTTCTCTTGATAAAGGAGCGGACTACCATTCCCTTCAGAGAAATAGTAGAGGTCAAACCACTTGGCTCTGTAGATCACCTAGATGCCTAGATGCCTTCCCTCTGCCTCTGTGCCCCTTAAGTTCTCATCTCCTGCTTTTTAGGAGAGTTCAAGCTTTGACGGGTTTAAGGAAGAAGACTTACGTCTGAGACATGTTTTAGAGGCTGGGGCTCTTCCCACCCACCCCTCTCCCATGTCCAGCATATATTATAGCTTCTACCTTCTGGAAAATGACCCTGGTTCAGGAGAGGATAGAGATTATCTATTCCCTCCAGACAAAGGGGCCCTTTCCTGCCAACTTGAAGAGCTTGAGGCTGAGGTGAGAACAGGGACAGAGGAAGATTCTGAGGCCATAGCCAAAGAGGGGGGCAGTGAAAGGAACCTGGTTAGTGCCAGGCTTTGGTCTGAGATGCCCAGGAGCTGGGAGATGAGACACTGAGATCAGGGTTGGAAGAATACAAGCAAACAGAAATTTGCTGGAGGAGAGGGTATCTTGGTTTGAGGAAATTTTATAATCTGAGTAAAAGATGAAATTTTACTTATGAGACTCCACATGACTGTCCTATGGCCAGGTGTAACAGTGTGAGAAATGCATGGCTTCCTTTTCCTTGATGTCACCTTGAAGTGTAATTAGGTATAGTCAAGAGCCCTTGTAAGTTTCCAGATTTAATTTTTTGAACTTCTACAAGTTTCCACCATTATTACCCTTTCTCTCAAGTACCAGCATTTAAGATTAAAAAGTAAAAAACCCTTTGGTTTAATATTTTCATGTTTTGCTGAATATATACTATATGCAGAGCTTTAAAATATTTTTATTGACTGTGGTTTTATTGTGTGTATATATACATTTGTATATAAATGACTATTTCAGTTATATTTCATGTAGTTTTTTTTTTTTTCTGAGACAGAGTCTTTTTTTTTTTTTTTTTTTTTTTTGAGACAGAGTCTCACTCT